AAGAATACGAACATGTTCTTGCATGAGGCCCATTGATCTGGAAATGTAAAAATACCAGTACAGTGATCCCAGCATTCCATTGTTATGGAAAAATCTAGTGGTAATTGATGTTTATGTGTTTGTTGCACCAACGTACTTGTTCATTTGAGGTTTTGCTAAAAATATTTTGCTCCAGCAGGTTTCGGACGAGCAGTCATATTGCAAGTCAGTGGCAAAGAAAGAGGAAWCCCTGCTCAGTAGGCTGCCTCGTCATCACCCTCTGCTCAGAGAGGCCCACAGCGATGATGGTTTGTAGCTGTTCGCTTCAACTCATGTGACGTGCCAGTTTGGCAGTGTTTTTAATCATGATGTCTCATTACAACCAACGGCAAAACTCATGGACTCACCACTCATGGTTCTTTCAGTAATTTAATTTTTTTGTTGTTTGAACAGATACATATCAGATGTTTTTCAAACCAACCTCAGTCTGAATTGTCATGTCACATTTTATGCACCTTTTATGTCAGTGAGGTGTAGGTGGTTGGATTCATCCAAGTACAATAAATATATTTATAAGTATAGGTCTGTGGCATGTGTGTGATTTATTTTTTATATAAAATTAAACAATTTAAAGAACATAAAGAGTGTTTATTCCATTATTTTTGCCAGGGGTTGTATTTGTAGCAATTCTTTACAAAAGTTTTCTGATTTGTATTTGCTCTCCACTATTTATTTTAAGCTTTTTTACTGAGCGTGTTCCATCTTTTTGTTTTCAGATATAAAAGTAGAAGTCGAGGTTGAACGAGAAGAAAAGGAGGAGTGGGCAAAGCCACTGGTCCAGCTGTGGCAGTGTCGACCCTATAATCCCCAGGTAGAGTGGGAGTATAACAAAAGTATGGGTCAGCAGGCTCCTTACTGCTCCATCTGCCTGCTCTTCTACACTTATCATCAGGTGAAAATAAAGTCTTTTTTACTTTTAAGAAATTCATTATGTACAGTATTTTAGGTATGGTTCCAGCATAATAACTAAAGCAAGTGTAATTGTAAGGGCAAGGTTGTTTGAAGTATCATTGACCTACATTGCTCCTGTGGGGTTTTACTTCTTTAAAGTATCATTTCTGGTTAAGTGTTCCCATTCACAGACAAGCAAAATTTTAGGGAAAATGAGGTAAATTTTAGAACGGCTTCTATTAGAGTATTAAGCTGGTATTAAGATACTATACCAGTTATGAAAATGACTTGAGATCACTTACAAAGACATTTTAAAAACATGAATATTTGGACATAAAATAAGCAGAGACCTTCCTGCAAATCAGATCAGATCTTTGTGACTGAAATTAGTTATAGTCCCAGAAATTACTAAGAAATTTCTTTTTGTAACAGCAAGGTTTTTTTAATTGTTTTWCTGTTTGTTTCTTTTGCAATATTCCTGTTTTTATGCAGTGAAACAGTTCTATCAGTACAGAGGTGAGATCAATAAAGTTATTTATCATGACGATTAAAGCTGAACAATGATTAAAGCTAGGTGCCACTTCACCTGTAATTATAATGTGCAGCTTTATTGTTCTGTTTTAAGCAGCACATATTTTACAGAAAGTGTCCCAGGTGTTATCCTGTTAGGTGACTAAAAGATCGAACTAAAATTAACTTCTTCCCTCCCCCATCAAACTCTGTAGCATCCTGTCAGAAAAAAATTGGTAAAAGTATGGCAACTTGTTAGTATTCCATCAGTAAATATGAAAACAATTTCCTTTTATGGTGGCTTTTGTTAGGTTTACATAGTACCATTACTGAAAATCAGTGGTGGGCATCAGTCTGCTAAAGCGCAAATCTAATTGCGGACCTAAATATTTTGTTTGCGCTTTAGCGGTCTTACTAATTTTTATAATTCATAAGCAGATTTGCGCTTTCTAAAATTAAAATACAGTACCACTAATAACTAATTATCTACAGTCATCATTATGTTGAACAGCAGAAGGTCTGAGTGTCAATGAATCACAACATGTGATCTATCCAACAGCACCCCTCCCAGATAAACACTCTTATTGTGAAGGTATACATCCTGCTGACTGTTGCTTTGGGTCACGGTTCTGATTTCCCACAATGCTTTGTGTCTGCTTACGTAGCAGGAAGGCAGTGTTTAGAACTTCCTGTCCCAGCAAAAACAGTAAACGTTTGTAATCCATACTAAAATTTTGTATGTATTGATTTATTTTACTTTACAATCAGAGCTCCTTTTTTTAAAAAATAAAGTTTAAACACTGGAGCTCATTACTTGACGTAATTGGTGAAGCAACGGGGTTAGAGACTCAGAAATGATTTAAAGATGTTATGCTGATGAAGACTGACATCTAGTGGTCAACTGGAGCAACTACACGGAAAACTTTAAAATCCAAGCTCTTATTTTGAAGTGAAGATATTTTCCTCTCTGTGCTTTCGTTTCCCGTCACAAATCAAATCCGTCATGTACCCAGAATGCATCGCTTCAGTTTTAAAATAAGCAGTTTTAAAATTACTTTATTGATGCTTCTTTAATGAAAAATCTACAACAAACAAAAGAAAAAGACAAAGAAGCAGCCGAACTAGCAATCCTCAACAACMTTTTAATTTTTACACCAGGAGCTAAAGGTCTGTTTCAGGAAATCACATCCCCAGCAATCGGCAGTTGTAGGATTAAGCTGTAAAGAGTTCATACACCACTAGTTGGCAGTGTTGTGCATATATTGTACATGTGTTTTTGTCAGCTAGTAAGTGTCAAATCGAACTTGAGCTTTAAAATTAGCTTCTTCTTGTTTTTCTACTGCATAAGCGCTTTTGAACTTGCGGAGCTAATTTTTGGTTTAGTACTGTCCACTGCTGAAACTAACACAGGAAGAATGAGTCACAATTTCTGCAGTTTCTGTGATTCTGACGTGTCCTGGTTTGAGGGGTGAATAAGGTCAATAGAACAGTAAAAACACACGCAGAAAAAGATACATTTTGGGGTTATATGTTAAATTCCTTGTTGCATCACACTAAAACATAAGTCAGGTTTGACTCTTTTTTAATGTAATTACTTAAAGTAGTGTAAATAAAGTGAAATTAATTTCCACAACTGATTTCTGATAACCATGTGAGCAATGCAAGTAAATGAAGCTCAGTAATTCCATTTTACAACAGTAATATTTAATAAATGTTCACTTTTGTTCAGGGGGTGTAAAGTGTCACAACTACATCTGATTTTCATGAAACAAATGTCTGAAACAGCGTTGTAACAAACTTGTGGATTTTGTTCTTTCCCCCTCACTTCCTGCCAATAGACCGAGTCTAATAATGATGACTCCAGCTTGATGCTGGTGAGCCGTCCAGGGGGGCGTCAGTGGTCCAAACCTCTGATCCCTGAAATGTGTTTCAACACACAATCCAGCAAGACGAACGATGCAGCTGAGGGACAGCTTTCTAATCCTCACACAGCCGAAGACGGGACGAGTCGGCTGATCAGCTGTGCTCAGTGCTGCGTTCGAGTGCATGCAAGTAAGCCACGATGCATGAAAATATCATCGCTTACTGGAAATTAAAACCAGTTCACCAGATACACTGGTTTGTTTACAGCCCAGCACTACCTGACAGAACCAGTAAATATAGACACTTTAGGAAATAAAAGTGCAAACTCTGTTTATACAGATTTACCTCACTGAAAACTGATGACCCAAAGCAACTTTATTAAAGAAACTGATTGTATTATTTTGGAAATTATACAATGAGTTTTTTTTTATAAAGTTCTTTGTTCTCTTTTAAAAAGTATTTAGTTGGATCTCATGTTTTTAATTGAACTTTACATTTTGCTTTGGATTTGGTATTATAAGGTAAATGTTTAGACTGCAGGTTACTGCCAGCTACAATACAAGCTTTGAAATGATGGTAGTGACTGCGTAATATGTTCTTTCATGTCTGCTTTTAGGTTGCTATGGTGTGTCTGGAGATGAAGCAGAGCTAGACGACTGGTTTTGTGCTCGCTGTGAAGCCAGTGCCATCACCGAGGTTAGCTCATTGAGATGGGACCTTTTGTAACTTCACTGTCTGAACAGTCTTCACACATTGTGTCAGAAAGTGTTTCACACTGGCCTCAAACTGTAATATATGGTAACTATTTATTACAACTTCTTTGCACATTGCACAAAATTCTTGACACAGTCAATAGGAAACAAGTAATAACTAGAGAAACTGCATTTCCTGCGAAAATGCTAGTGTGAATACTTCATGCTGAAAAATTAAGCTGAAAGCTGCTGAAACTGAGCTGAAAATATTTAATAACAAAAGTGTTAATGTGAGCTGACTTTGAAAAGCTGAAAGAAGCAAAAAAAAAAACTAACTTTGCAGAAAAACAGTAAAAAGGAGCACAAATCTAGTTGAAAACAACAGAAAACGGCTAAAAGCTAAGAGCTACAATAGCTGAATTTAGCTGAAAACATCTGTAAGAAGCATAAGTAGCTCAAATTTGCAGAACAAAACACAAGAAGTCCAAAAAAGCAGAAGAATAGCAAAAAGAAGCAGATCTACAGCTAAAATAGCAAACAAAGTTAAAATTAGCATGAAATAGGCTAAAAATATCAGCCAATAGTTGAAATGAGCTCCTAGGTAGGTGAAAGCGCTGTAAAAACTTAAAAATAGCAGAAAGAAGCGTGATAGTACAACAAATAACAATTTGTAGTAAATTAGCTAAAACAGCCAAAACTGCTAAAAAAAAGCTGGAATTTATTTAATTAACATAAGGAAGCATAAGGAGCACAGGTTTGCTGAACTTAGGTGAACAAAGTTGTAATAGCTACAAAAAATGCGTATTTGGCTTAGAAAACCAGCTTTTTCTAACAGCAGTTAACATTAGCCAAAATTTCAGCAATTAGCTGTATATAGCAGAAAGCATCTGTAAGAAACCTAAAAAACACAAAGTAGAAAAAAAGCACAAAAAAGTAGGAAAAAGAAGAAGAATAGCAGAAAGGATTTTAAGGATGTTGAAAACGGCTACATTCATTTTCAGGAGCAAAAAAGTTGCTAAAAAAGTCAAACCTAGCCTGGTCCTTACCTTCCTACGCAGCTCCGCTCAATTCTAGTGTCCTTCTCTGCTCCGTCTGGGACTTCTCCCATAGACAAGGATTTCACTGGCAGATTTTTAGCCGAACCAATCAGAGAAGAGAATGTTAATTTTCTGCGCAGTGTCTGCTTGTAGTTTATTTTACCTGGACCAATCAGAGAACAGAAGGAGTTTTGAATGACGTCGACTTTCTGCGCAGTGTCTGCTAGTTATTTTAGCATACAGCAGTGGAGGAAGTGAATGAAGCCAGTCTGTGTTGATAAGGCTTCAAATTAAAATAAAATTGTCTGACAAAGCAGCAGCTCTCATTTACAGTCGTCTCGTTCAGCTCGGTACTTCTCTCCTCTCAGTAGGGTTGTTTACAGTGCTCGCAATTTCCGGTTATCTTCTTAGCTTAGCCTCCATCACAGCGACACACACACACACACACACACACACACACACACACACACACACACACGCTTCAGCAGAGGCCACGCCTCCTGCAAGAATCGCTTCTCTATAGCCGAGAGTCCAGACCCTCGTATGAAGCAAGGTGAAGGACAGGGTCTGGTTTTAACCAGGCTAGGTCAAATAGCTAATAAAGTATAAATAGCTGAAATACCAAAAGTCGTAGCACCCCTCACATGAATGCACTGAACATTTTGATATATGAATTGTTGAAATAGCACAAAAATTGTGGAACGAGTTAAGGCTCCTGCATACTCCATCCGAACTGCCGAATTTGTCGCAGTTTTATGACGACAATTGCGTCATTCTGTTCGCATTGTCGATATTTCGGCAGCTTCTGACACAACCCGTGGGTGGAACTTTGTGGACTCCAGTGGGAGAAACCCCCCTGTAGTGACGTATGCTGCAGCAGGAAGGGGTTTCCCCAGGAGCTCGGTGCAGGGTTTCTCAGGTACTATGAAAGGTGTGTGCGAAAAGGAACACAGAAAAACCACGTGACTGGGCATCGACTGCTCGGCTTCGGAGGGAGTATGCAAGAGCCTTAAGATGCTGAAAAACGTATGTAAGAAAACATGATCTCAATAGATCACACAGTAACAGACAATATTAGAAATCTCAACAAAATGTGATGTTTTGAAAAGTGCGTACGCTATTTAAAAAGTTCACAAATTACCTTTCAGGAACACAAACATTTATCCTGTTTCAGTGAAGTTGGAGGAAGCAGGAATCTGAAATGTAATTAGGTCATTTTAACCAAATTTGACTTAATCCTCATTTCTCTATGATGGGTCACATTTATCACTAGATTTGTTGTGCATTCTCACATTTCCTGCACACGATTCTCAGACCTTTTCTGTGCTACGCACTGGACAGGAGGCTGTACAAATTTGTGGGGGCAAATGAACGACTGTGAATTGCGCAGAGAAGTGGAACTGCATCTAGAGTAAATTAGGGTTGACACTTCATTCTCAATACTGAGGACGATTTTCCAATATCTCAGTCCATCTCATGCTTCATCCTACATGTTCATCACTCTTAAACAAGACTCCCAGATACCTGAACTCCTCCACTTGAAGCAGAGACTCATCCTTGACCAGGAGGGGGATTTAGCATTTTTTCAATTGAGAACCATGGCCTCGGACTAAGGGGCTCTGCACACTACATCCGAAGCCTCTCTGACTGTGTGTTGAAATCCTGTGCCATGAACAGCAGGATCAGAGATGAGGGACGACCCTGGCAGAATCCAACCTGCACTGAGGATGTGAACACAGCTTTTGCTTTGGCTTTGCAGAGACCAGATAGCTTTTAATAGTGACCCTGGTACCCACTCCCCCTCAAATAGCCTCAAGGATTCTGTGGGGGGTCATGAGCCTTCTCCAGATCCAGAAAATACATAGAGCAGTGGAAAAACATGCAGTGTCCTGCATGTTTTAGGAGCTGCCCTCTCCTCAGTATGCCATCAAGGTCTGCAGAGGCCTACTAACTTGGCTCTCCTTACGTTCAGCTGTGTTGAACCGTGGCAGCATGGTTTTAGTTTTTTGCCCCATTGATTTGCATGGCSGGGGCTGGACTTGTACTGGAATCAATCAGCAGGGACGCTGGTCCCATTCCAGCTTCAACTTCTGGGATGTGTTTAAAGATCTACAGTACTTATTATTTACGTCTATTCCTCCTACAGCAGGTAATGGGTTGAGAATAAAAGGGAATAACATTATCTTGTCTTTTTTTCATTAGGACTGTTGCCTGTGTTCACTAAGAGGAGGAGCTTTACAGAGAGCCAACAATGACAAGTAAGTAAAAGATATAGGAGAAAAAAGACCTTCACAGTTCATTTAAAAATTATTTTGTACCATGATTCAAGATCTGTTTTTCAGAATTGTTGCACATCCAGTCTTTATGATCCAGAGAATAATTTAAAAGTAGCAAACTAAAAGCTATTTTAAAGTTAAAAGCAACAAAAGTAAAGCAGCACGACGGCTCAGTGGTTAGCACCGACGTCTCACAGCAAGAAGGTCCTGGATTTGGGGGGTCTAGGATCGGGTTCCAGCACAGAGAAGCAACGCTCCACTAAATCCCGCCCCATCTCATGTAAATGGTAAAATGGTAAATGGTACCGAACTTATAGAGCGCTTTATCAAGTCCCTCCAGACCCCAAAGTGCTTCAAACTTACAGTCATTCACCCATTCACACTCACATTCACACACTGATGATGGTAAGCTACACTGTAGCCACAGCTGCTCTGAGGCACACTGACAGAGGTGGGGCTGCCATGCACCGGCGCCACCGGACCCTCTGACCACCAAAAGTAGGCAAGGCGGGTGAAGTGTGTTGCCCAAGGACACAACGACRGAAACAGCTGGATGGGGGATTGAACCGGCAACCTTCCGGTTCCAGGACAACTCCTCTAACCGCTCCGCCACAGCCGCCCCTGTGTGTTTGACCCAAGCACCCCCCCCCAAGCTGTCTGCTCTGTCACGAGTGTTTGTTTGTGCATATGACTCTGTGTTTATGMTTTTTTTAACTCATCTCTCCTGTTGTGTATTTCCAAGCTGCAAAAAGTTAGCGCGACCTTGTTGCGCATGACCTGTTCACCTGTCCCCCCGTGTTTTTMTCATGTGTGTTTTTCTTGAATGGGTATTCTTTACTGCATTTCGTTCTACATTGCATCCCTGATGTTATGTTTGAATGACATTAAAGTGAATCTGTATCTTTTAATGTTGTGGAGAAGAATGCATTGTATCCGTTTTTATGAGCATTTTTTAAATAAATAGATCCTTTTGATATAATTGTGCTTTTTTTCTATAAAGGCATTTTTATTCATCTCCAGGGCCAGCTGGACATGAAGACGGTGACTTGAGTTAGAAAAATCAGACTAACTTCCRATGAAATTGTTCTTGTCTGTTTTATATCACGTTGCATCTTTTTTGTTTGGTTTTGTTCATTATGTGTTCATTTTGTTCAGAATCCACTGTTTGTCTTCTTTGTACACAGATGGGTTCATGTACTTTGTGCTATCACTGTCCTGGAAGCTCGCTTTGTCAACATCACCAAGCGGAGTCCCATTGACCTCTCTGCCATTCCTTTTCCTCGGTTCAGACTGGTAAGAGCACAGTTTTCCTTTACTTTGATGTGTGCACTCTTGTAAAAGTATTGGAACAGATGCACTTAAAATAGATATGTGCAGTTTGGTTACACCTTTCTTTAAATTGGCAAAAAAAAGTTTTTTAGAATGGTCTTTAGCCTTCCCATTGCTTTGGTAAAGATCCTCGCTGTCTCATTAGTTAAAGAAACTTTGGACCAGAAATCTTGAGGCCCATCTGTACGTAGTTCTTTGACAAATAGGTTTTTATCATCTGGTGTCGCCTCTGTACTTTAGTTCAGATATTCTTAACCTATGGGCTGTGAGCGCCACCTTGAGGGCCTCAGAAGAACAATAGTTTTTAACTTTGGGCCACAGAGGGACGTGGGACCACATGATTTTAAATAAGG